GGGGGGGGGGGGGGGGAAGCTTGCCGACAGGTACGGGCTGGCATAGCCCTAATATTGATGAGGTAAGAGAGCCACCGGGAGAATGGGAGCTCAAAGCCATCGTAAAAAAAATGTTCAGTACAAAGTGGGTGGAAAAACACTTGCAATAAATAAAAAAAAAGCTTCTTCGAAAAATGCATCGTAGGTTATACTTGAGGAGGGTTAGGATTTCTCGTTGCCCACAAGTGCCGTTAAGGGGATTTAATCGAAAATGCGTGGAATTATACCCCAATGACTGACTGCATCACACAAGTACTTGGGATAAAACTCCAGGGGCCAATTAAATTTCTCGATAGCTTTGTGATATATCTGGCAAGTTTTCCTGGGTATCCACTGGGAGGACTCGTATGATGTGTGCTTGTGGAGAAAAAGTTTTTCTGAGGATAACGTATGTGATAGGGGACTTCGGGGGAATTGCTGACTTCGGGAAAAAATGTTTTGAATGTTTTTAGGGGTTTCTAGTTTTGAAATTTTGTTGCCTTTTTTGTTTATTCCTAGTTCTTGGGGAGATAAGTTTGGTGATGGATGGAGATGAACTGGGGCCAGTGAATGGCTAGGAACTAGTTTTCGTGGAAAAGTTTTTTATAGTTTTTTAAACTGTACAATACAAGAAATGAAAAAATTTCAAGAGAATATTCTCAATGATTTTGTGAATTATTCTGTTACAGATCGACCCGAAGGTAGCATTTCCTAGGAGAACACATCCAAAGGTGAGTGACAATAACCACTAAAAATAGAGTTAAAAAATCATGACAATGGATTCACTAATGGCTCACGCCGACGACAAAAGAAATTATGTACAAGCAAACCTCGTTATCGCACTTTGTATTCCTACATACAATTTCCGGTAAGCCGGAAACGCACAGACGTGACATACCACGTGTCCCGAATTCCAAAATTAATAATGTTCTGCATTTAACTTGGGAATTTCACATACATGCCCTGCTGTGACGTGATTTAACTGGTAAATGGGAGGGGCAGAGGGGTGGAACAAAAAAGCTTTCAGGGAAAAATGCTGGCCTCATTAAACACAACAGATTCAATTCAGACCTCTTGGGTGTAGCTCTCGATATTAACTGGAAAATTCGCAATTGCAGCATTTTTCGCATCAATTTTTCTTTTTTTTTCTTCTTTTTTTAATTGTTCAATTTAGGATTTTTTTCACTTGAGGGGTACATTTTGGGTATTTTTAAAATACAAGATACTTATTACCGTCATAATCTGATATTCGGGTTCAGGTACAACATTAGACTTTGCCATTAATTCAGGCTCAGGTAAGTATCGAGGCGTGAATTTTTGTTCAGATATAAGTCCAGGACAGGACCTGAATTCAGGTTCACAATTGGTCAATTCAGGCTCATCACATTGAGGGATGAATTTTTATTCAGGCATAAATTCAGACTCGGCTGGAATATCCAGTTCTGTTATAGTTTACGCCTGAACGTGAGGTCATGTTCAGACATAAATTCAGGTTCAGGCATACATTTATATTTAGGCATAAATTGAGGTTGAAACATGAATTTATGACCAGCAATAAATTCAGGTTTAGTCATAAATTGAGGTCCAGAACTGAATTCAGGGTTAGGTATGAATTCTATATTCAAATAAAAATTCAGTTTCAGGTATAAATGTAGGTTAATCATTCTTCGTTGTAAATTGACGCTCAGGTGTGAATTCAGGTTCGAAAATTCGCAATTATAAAATTTTCCACATGAATTTCTTTCATTTTCTGCATTATTTTTTTAAATTCCTTAATCTGAGACAAAAATGCTGTCAAGGGATACATTTCAGCGTATTCCCCGAATACAAGACATTTATTCCGAGTATTCTCAGACATCTCTAGTTTCAGCTCCCAGAAGTGCATTGAAATTTATCACCCAGATGCAAGTGATCAATAAATAAATCGACAATAGCCTTAAAAAATTGAATCAGCCATTAATCACAAGAGTCCAGTTGGCAAAGGGCGCCTCTCACACATCGTGTGGCCCCTGCAATTTTCATAAAATAGCATACACAGGGAGAGGCTGGATGGCCCTGAGAGACTCGTCACTGAAAAAGTAATACGAAATTGCAATGGTAAAAAATGAGAAACGGCGAAAAATACACAGAAAGGTAGATATAAGCGCTGAGAGGAACTTTTTTCTGCCTCGATGAATGTGACTCTAACATCAACCTCATCTTCTCTCTTCCATCGTTGCGATTTACACGCGAGGATAACTTCCAAGACTGTAGGGAAGAACGGGAAAAAAATTTTTTAATTAAGACGATCTCTGTTTTTTTTACCTCTTCTCCGGTGTTTGAAAATTATTTCTAATGGGGAATTCTTGCACGTACTAATTATTCGACATTCCGTGAGATGAAAAATTTTCCCCTGCCAGAACCGGACAGAAATTATTCCGAGAAGAACGAAAAATAATCATTTTCTCATTTAAAAGCAGTAGATGGAGAATTTTCTCTTTTTTTCAACAATTTCTCTTGAAAAATTCCTCAACATTCCACAGTCTTCAATTTCATTACCCCCATTCCACCTC